ATATATATATATACATATATATATATATATATATATATATAGTCAGTAGTACATTTTGACCTCAAACGACCACAGTCAAACCATTTTAAGACTCAAAAGAGGCTACTTTAGCATAGAAGGATCACTAAAGAAGTGGATTCAGAATCATGACTCCATTAACAACTTTGATTAGGACAATCAGAAGATGTTCCTTCTTCAGGCCAAGATGTACTGTCACCATGTAAAAGATTCAAGTGGAGATCTACTAAGTCTCAGCTAAATCATTTGGACTAAGGGGAGTTTCAATTCTATTTGGACTCAGAGAAAATCTTTGTATTTTCGTACTTATTTTCAAAGCTAATTTTGGAAGGCTTTTCTAGTCCTAGTTAGAGCTGAAGTAGTGTCCAGGACTAACAATATGAGCATAGCATAAGTTGGGATAATTATTTCTCTAATCAAAATTATATTTCAAGAACTGACAGAGAGTTTTTGTAATGAGGTACGGTTAGCTTTCCTTCCCTCAACTTGTGTATGTTAAGCTCCTACTAGGCCCTACTTTGTTTAGAAAACGATTATTATTAATAAAGAGTGGTCTTATAAGAAGAATTGAAGTTAACAATCATAGTCATGGTCGGTTCTTCATCCTTTTTCTTTTTCTATTTATCCCTCTTCTTTATATCTGTTTTCTCTCTTTCTTTTACTCTCTCTCTTGATTCTCTCTTGAAGGACACCTTTTTCGCTTAAGGAAAAATATGTAATCAATTCCATCCCTATTCAAATTTTAGATTTGGATTTCTGGTTTTAACTTATTTTCTACCTTACATCATTGAAGAAATGAAATTTTATTGAGCTGAATTTTGGTACATCAAAAGAATATCAAGTTAGATGCTTGCTCATTTTATTTCAGCCAAATCTGACACAGTTTCACCCATCTATTCACTCTTGTCAGTAACAAATATCAGACTGAAAAGTTCTGCAAGAGGTACAATATTCAGATTCAATCAACCTCCCTATAAATTTTGTTTTTTTCTCTAATAACATATCGAATCACACATCTTCCATGACCATCATCATGGATTGCTACATTGCATCACCATTTATCCCCTCATCCAATTATAAAGATTCAGATGTTTAGTATTACAGCCATACTTACTAGACATCCAAGTATTCATCAATATAACTGTTAAGTTCTACACAGTTGCCCCCTCGACAACAATCAAACTGCAGGACTAAGAACACTTGGTTAGGTTACAAAATCATTGATGGAGAAGTTATCTAGAATGACTAGCCAATATTGACGATCAACTGGGCAACAATATTGCTCTGATGATTATGCTTGCAAGCCAGGAAGATTGTTAAGATTTGAAGATCAAAGAAGCCTCTCCCATTGTACCAGCAATTTTTTTTTTTAATTACAAGATCTCCGACAACCCTTACCATTCATCACAAGCAAAAGAATGAGTCGAATAAGTTTATGAAGTTGTAGTGGTCAATAATATCTCAACAAACTACACCGAAGAAGAATACTAGTATCATCGGCCTCTAGCATCTTTTGATCCTCCGTTGAGGCAAAACATTAGCTCTTAAACAACTTCCTACCATTTCTCTCTCAAATCTCTTTTAGAGGATACCTCCATCTTAGAATAAAGAAGGCTGTCCAAAGGAGGAAAAAGATCATAACAATGCATCAAAATCAAAATCGTACCTGCAAAACATATTTTCCTAATAACAACATCGAGTTATGAGCAGAAATATCGAGCATATTCTAAGAAACATATAGCTAAGAAACTGAAATGTCAAGATAGATTTTTTTATCAATTAAGAAGCTCAGTCAAACTTTAGGACCTAGACTTTGGAAATGTCTTTGGCAATAAAAGCAAGAAGCCCTAAACCCATTAAAAACTGAAAAATTAAGTTAAACGAAGTTGTATATAAAAAAAATAGTGTAATTAAGCAATACATGTTTCATATGATGTCTAAATTTCTGATACTCAAAACTTGCACTCAGATAGATTAAAAATATAATAGCTGTTGGGGCTATGCACATTCATAAGTTCACTGAATATAGCATATCATCAGGACTTACTTTCCTGTAACTCGAAGAGAAGCACCTTGATGAAAAAATTGTGAACCTTCTTCTAATTCCTTCAAAATGACTGGTATGCCAGGTCTTATTGAACATGTAGCCATGATTTTGACAACCACCTGCTAACAATTGTTAGACAAGTTTCAAGACATCTAAATGCAGCTCAACACTTGTTACAAAAATTAAGCAGAAGTGACATGGAAATTCAATAACTTAATTTTACATAGTACACCAGATAAATATGGTTCCCTTGAGTTTGTCAAGCCATATGTAAAACACAATTTTATATCTAATAGCTCTTTATCAAGCATAATATAGATGGATTCACAAACTTGAAATCTGAACAACTTTTCCATGTTTTTCAATGAAACCAACAAAGAACTACTTAAGTAAACCTCCATTTTGTAAACTTACTATTTAAATAATTCAGCCCCCAGGCCCTCATCAGAATGCAGAGTAACAAGAAATCTTACCTTGATACACCCATCAAAAAAGATTCTGTTTATGACTTCCACACTTTGATTTCTATACCTTAGAAACCGATAAAGCATCATTGTCTCTGCGGTAAAAATATACCAAATCCCAGCATTCCTATAGATGATTTACCGACTCTATGCATAACATAGATTATCGACCCTTTTACACAAAACAAAATGGCAAAATAGGACAGCACATATCAAATCCTAGAGAGAACATTTTAAATCCATTGAAAGAAATAAAAACAGATTTTTTAATTAAAGACGTGTTGTTTATATTTAGAAGAAATGTCTTTTTAAAGGCCTATAAAGCTTAATATGAAAGAAATATAAAGCTTATTATGCAAGAAAAAGGTTCCATAGAATATTCTAACTAGGAAACTTACCTATCAGAACTCAATCTTAGCTAATAAAATCTTCAAAACACTTAAAGACAGATATAAATAAATATTCAAAATTCAAAAAAATCAAAAGATAAATCTTCTCAAACTTTGCAACAAAACGCACCAAACCACAGACCCCTCCACTTAAAGAGCACTCGCTATTGGGTTCAAAGGCTAAACTTGTAATCTTCAACAACGTTTATTTCGAATCACATAAATTTTCAATTTTTTTCGAAATAATTCTTTGTAGATTCCACTGTATGAAAATTATTTCCCATGGTAAACAAACTTGACACTGTGTTAAAAATGGTTTAGAAACAAACATAAAATCTTCAGCTCCCATGAAATTGACAAACTATATCATGTTATAATGAAGATCATCAAATTTGTACATTAGCGGCTCATCTTGAACCCCAGCACGACAAGCAGTCAGTATTTCCATCTCCAATATTGCGTCATCAAGTTCATAAAATTTGACTGCCTCCTATTCTATCTTGATTTGTTGCTTATTACTCTCAGCACAAACAATAGTGGCCAACTCTTTCATTGCTACAAATTCAATAGCAAAAGCGACAACAATTTTATCGTCCTTGATTTTTTTATTAGTCCGCGTGTATGACGGACGCTGGAGATGGGAGCAGCAGCTCATCCACTCCGCAGTCCAACCACCTCCACCACCATCACCGGCGAATGACTACACGGAGGAGAGGAGGAAAATAGCAGAGAAGAAGAAGAGGAGAAAGGAAGCGGGAGACAATGTACCTGTTCTCAGAAATTAGTCGTCGTCGTACGCTTCGAGCTTTGGCAATAGCTGGAGATTAGGGATGTATAAAGACTCCTCCCTATACTCGCCGGAGCTCCGTTTGGTCTGTGCGGCAGCCGAGGTCTGCGGCCGTCGGCGCCTCGTCCCGGACGCCGCTATCGCAGAAATTGGAGGGGGATTTGCGAAACCTCCTCGTTTCCCTTCGGGTTGAAGACCCGGTTGAGAGAGGATCCTCTACAACGAGACTTGTCAAATGAAAAGGTGCAATCACATCTCAGCCGTCCAATTATGGCAAACGCGGATATAAAGGCCCCTCCCTCATATTTAACGTATTTCCGCCAGTTTCAGATTTCCACCGTCCGTCTAATTATAATTTAATTAAAATAAGCTTACTATTTATCACCTTATTTTACTATTACTATTGATAACTCCTTTTCTATTGATAATTTTTTAAAAATATAATAAAATTTTATTTTACTATTTATAATCATAATATTATCTATTTTATTTTATTTTCCTTCCCCTATTTAATCCTTGCACTATCACTACTCATTCTTGTTGATCGTCGTTACTACTGACATCGATTTGATGCCATTCAACCTCACTCATCATTTTGTCATGAACTTAGTTAATTTTACATAAGTCGTATAGTATCTTTAAGTTTCAAAAAAAAAAATAAAAAGATATTTATGTTTATTTATAAAAAGATAATTTAAAATTATAAAAAAAATTTAAGATTATATTATAAATAGTAATAATAAGGGGATACAAATGATAATCTCTTAAATAAAAAATAAAAAGATGCTCTCAAACTTAGAAGTCTTACATTTTCTGGTATTTATGAAATGAGCTCCTATTTCAGATTTTTCATAGAGCGTTTCTCCTTTTACAAATTAAGAGAAAATTTTATTTTATTAATTTTTATTTAAATTAACCCAGTTCGACTTACTATTTTTTGTTTAAACTAAACAAGTGCAACTCCTTGATGAGTATACATATAGCTATTATGAACTTTTCTAACAAAAGCATTTTTCTGTTAAATTTGACATGCAAATTATTTACATTGTTTCCAGCATCTGATCGATACCAAAAACACTGCTCTCCCTACCTGACAAACCAGGTGAAGAAGGACCAAGGAGTATGTAATCCTATCGTGCACAGTTGTGATCAACAATAACTGTTATCGACCAAAAGATTTGGAGGTTGGATAATGCCACATTAATCAATACCACCTGCATCATCGAAGCTGTTTTGCCAAAACTTTCATGAAATATCATAAAATGCACCTAAGCAGGTTCTTCAGTTGCTGTTTACGAGGCTGTATTAGCACATTAAGACACCGCACTAAATGGACAGAAACATCTTGGTATCTACAGGAAGTTTCAAATTCAATGTTCTCAAAGCAAAAACCAAGAAGAAGTCATGCAACCAAGTTGCAAAGACTAAAATGCACCTAATCGAAACAAATAATTAAAATAGCATGTCAATCATAGCACTTTGGCATCTACTCCTGCTAAATTATGATTAAACTTCCGGCAGAAAACAAAGAGTATATTCCACAGAAATCAAGCAAACCTCTGCAGTGGCAGAAATCCCAAAGTAACAACAAAAGATGGAAAATTTTTAGAACGCGACTGACACAAGCATTCGGTGAAATTAAGACCGGGATTTCTTCTTTGACTTGCTGGAAGCCTTCGACTGCTCAGAGCTTGTTACCTTTTGGGGCCCACTTTTGGATGAGCTAGAAGTATTTTGGCCTGATTTTGAACTTGGGCCATTGACTGAACTGCTGGTTGCTGGGGCAATGGAGTCATGCTTCTCCCTAACCACAGCTCCCTGAGAACCCCGAATCTGACTTCTCTTATCCTTCCTCTTGGGCCTATAACTTGACCTCTCTCTCTTCGGCAGCCATCTCTCAGGATCTGGTGGAGGCCCTGGATTTGCTGGATCAAATCCTTTCGGGTATCTGGGCTTCCGCTTCCTTTTCTTTGTCTTTGCTTTCTTTACATCCTCGGGAACTTCTACCTTCACTGCATGTGCACCTTCAACATGCCTTGCACCAGGTGTCTTCTCTAGACTCTCCACATTCAGTTGTTTCAAACCAGAAAGTTGCTTCAACTGCTTCTCATATAACTCGGCTTTCTCAAGGTCAGTGTGAGCAGCCGTCATTACAAGACCCACCAGAGCTTCGATATTGCCATGGCTCTTGACAAGTTTTTCATATAACTGTGAAGCCTCCTCCTCACGTCCATGATTGAGCTTAAAAGCTGCAGCTTTCTGCATGATCAAATCAAGTTTATTTTCTTCGGTCATGGCATTTTTCCACCAGTCAATTGCAGAGTCAAGCACTGCAGCAGCACTACTAAAGTCACCAATGCGCTCTTGCAATGAAACTAGTGTCGCCACAGTTGCAGGCATGTTTTGGATCTCAGGAATCTTCAACAAGGACTCAACAGATATCTGAAAATGACCAGCGGCAGCAGCAATTTGAGCACGAGCAAGGAGGACTGGCCTGGATTTGTCAGGAAACTTATCTGCATAGTGTATAAGTACTTCCTCAGCTTTTGCTGCCTTCTTCTCTCTAACAAGTAAAGCAGCTTGAAGCAGGACAGGTGTTACACTATCTGGGAACATCTCTGGTAGTGCAGAGATGACTTCTTGAGCCTGCAAGGAATCACAACTAAGTTTATTAATAATTCCTTCCACATTTCTCATTTCATGCAAATACAAGCTCTTTGGTTACAGAGGAAGAATATTTCTTCACAAACATCGACCATGAAGCATAATGGGAATAATTATATAACAAGCTGTCACAATGAAATTCAACTTTCAAGGAGTATACCAATTCCTGGACCAGGATTATGAAACTAAATTTACGCTAATGATTCCAAAATTAAAGTTTAACATAAATTTTAGGGGCCTTTGATTTGTGTCTTGCCCTCTCCACGTGAATCAAATGCCCATATCCTACCATAAAATACAAATAAATTTCAAATCATCATGCTTCCAATTGACAATTGAAATGCATGAAAGAAGCATCATCATAGTTCACTTTAAAGAAAGAAAAGAGAAGCTCATAATAAACCTGATCGAGCCTATTTGCTTGAAGAAGTAAAAGCAAACGGTTGGCATACAGAGATTCTTTTTGTCTCGTGGATAACTTGAAATCTAAACTGTTGGCAAGTTGGAATTGCCTTGCACCAGTGCCTTTTTCTATTAGTCGATCAAGCCTCCTTAGACTATCCGAAACATCCTTTGTACCCCTTAGTGAAATCAGGTTATTTGTCGCCACTGCAAGTGATGAAGCATCAGACAGATTACGGTTTATTATGGACATATAAGCTTCTATTGCTTCTTCAGTTTGTCCCTGTAACTGGAAGAGAAGGAAAAAGCAACCTTAAAAGCCAAATTACACTATGGAGGTTTACAAAATCCATAATTGCTATTCACCTGATGCACATATGCAAGCTGGACAGCAATTGGAGCTAGTTCAGTTTCTATCTCATCATCAGCATAGTCCTCCTCCATTAGCATTTCCTGACCAATTCTGGAACAAGAATTCATGTTAACCTCCATCAAGATGCACTTTAACAGGTTCAAAAGAATATCCAAGTCCAAATACAGAGTATACAACAAAACATCATCGAACATTTATTTCTGTATAAACTCCACATAAAATGCAAAAAACCATGGCACTACATCAATAATTTATACAAGAAGATGCATGTGTTAATTAGGATATAACTGAGACACTAATCAATGCATTGAGACTCCTTTGGACGGCGTCAGGCAAAAAATATATACAGAAAGTGACAAACTAATTTCATGAAACTGAAAAGACAATGCATATCAATTATGAGAAAATAACTATTTTAATTATATAAACTAGTATGAGGGTACAAATATGATGAAAATATTAACCATCTTAGCTGCTACAATTTGGTTCAAGTGACTAGCAAGCCACAACTTTTAAAAATGTTGGTGGCATGGATTATGTATGAAACATAACAACAAAAAGAAGGAAATCTTGCGAACAAGATTGGAGCAGTAGATCAAGACCCAAGTCACTATAAGATAAGCCATGAGCAGCATCTTTGCAAACATTTAATACAGATCATATATCAGTATTGTCATTATCATTTATTGGAAGCAGAGAGATGTTCCTTGCCTACTTTTAGTTTAAGCTACTCTAGAATATTTAAGGTTAATACAGAAAACTAAGAAAAAAGCTAGCCAATCCTTGAATATTTATTTAATAATTACATCAAGTTTAGCTGTAAGACTGAGCTAGTGAGTAAGACTATCTTCAGGAACACATTTTGATCATTTATGAAGGACCTGAGATCCATTTACACATTTAGCAATTTGACATTACTCACAATTCATTTCTTATGCCCTTTTACAAATTCTTCATGTTTATGATTTAATCAACTCTTTCCATCTCGTAAGAAACTTAGTAGATTTATTCCCTTATTGCATGGCATAAACCTACAGCCTATAAGGTCCATTACTCTAGAACCAATTAAACTAAAAGATGTAATTTAAGGCACCAATTTTTACCTATATGACTCATTAATCATTCAACATCAAATCAGTCTCAACCAATGCTGGTGAGAAACAAGAATACCATATTGAAATCAATATGGTATTTTTCCAACTAAGACCAACATTTTAAATTTCAATGTCACTAAGACAGTGACATATATGGCAAAGATAGGTGAAGAAATAAGAGACAACAAACCGTAACTCTACAGATAAGTAAGCGAACAGAAAGCATATATTTAGGAAGAGAAGACAAAGTATGATACCATAGTCATTAGTTCCCAAAACATGCACATGCATATAAAATTAGCATTCAAAATTCAAGGCATGAGTTCCGAAAATATTTGAAATTCTATAAATCAATCAAAGCTACAGAAAATGAAGTTGCTCAAATCTGCAAAACATCATAAGAAAAGGAATCCTAGAACCAGGGAGTTGCTTTCTGCAAACAGAAGTTGGCTGATGTCATGAAGTTCACAATACATGCAACTCCATGCCAGATGCTAATGAAAATTCCACCTAAAGCTAGTTCTACATGACAAATACCAATTACGTGGGGCCATTAATTAACATACTCATCTTATCCCACTTAAGAAAATTTTCCCGCAGAAAAAAACTTCATATCTCTAAAAATCAGCTGTTCCAACAGAATTGCTTGAACCATAAACATTTTAATCTTCAAAATGATACAGCGATTAGTTAAAATAGAGTAATTATAGTCAAGCAACAAGAAGAATATGTATAAGACATGCATTAAATTGTTACAATTAAGAGATCCATTTGACACTTAAAAATCCCCTCAAATGGATATTACTTTACAGAATCACACACCTTCGAGCTGAAAGTAATTGTTGCTCAGCCTCTGCATATTTTTTCTTTTCGATCAAGGAGCAAGCATAGTTGTATGCAAGTTCAAAGTTACTAGTAGCCTTGACTTTAAGTGCATCCATAGTTTCCTGAACTTCAGCAGACCTTCCAGCTGCAATTAGGGCAGCAATGATGTTTGTCTTTAGATCCAAGGAGTCAATCTTGAATCTTTGAATTTTCTCATAGCTGTCCATGCAAGCATCCATTTTTCCTAGACGATAAAGAATTTGAGATTCCAACTGGAGGATCATAGAATTTCTTTCTTGACCATCCAATACCTTCAGTGCTTCATGTAGTTTGTTTTGTCTGTATAAGCAATATGCCTGATTAAAAGGAAACAGAGTAAGACTTGAGAAAACAGTGGCTTAAAAATGTTGAAGTAAGCTGTAAGATCATTCAGCAAGTACTGTGAAGTTCATTTTTGTGCTAGGCTATAATAAGTGAACTTTTCTGTATCATTACAGAATATACCAAGCAGAATTATATATATAATTTTCCTATGGGTAAATTATTTAACAGCCCCTGAGTTACAAACAAATATCAAGCTGATCCTTAAACTTCCAACTTGTTGCATTTAATACCAGAAGGTTCAAACCATGATTCAATATCTCAATACCGTCAAAGGAGAGAAAGGGAGAACAGAAGAGGGATGGAGAAAGACAAGGAGGAGGAGGAGATGAAGCAGAAAGAGAAGGAAGAGAAGAGAGGAAGCTAAGGAGCAAAGAGCCCTGCTGTTGATAGGAAAAACAGCTGTCAACAGCAAGCTAGGGATATTAGGAAAAATCAAAAATACAGTTTTGAACCAGATTGGATAAATTCACCCAAGTGATTAGTCTTAGTTAGACCAAAAATTACGGATCAGTACATACCAGTCCGACTATATATTTTTAACTATAGCTCAAAATTATCAAAAAGATTGCAATCAAGTTGTTGTATGATTACATAAAAACGATACAATATTTAAGTGTAGGTCAACAATTCCAAAAGGCAGGATCGTTCCTAAAAGGGCTTAACTACTTATGTATGAGAAATAGATAATAAAAAAGAATATGAGGAGGAGAGAGAATAAAAGAGGTGGCAACCATTCACCTACCTTATTTCTGAGGAGGAGAGAGAATAAAGGAGGTGGCAACCATTCTCCTACCTTATTTCTGCTAAGTGCCATTCACCACAGATCCATCTTCCTCAACATCATTTCTACATTCCTCGAAAGTTAACAATAAAAGAAGAGAGAAGGGAGTAAAATTGGGAACTATAATCCAACATTTCTTTTCTCCATCCTACTTTTGATCTACATTGGCTATGGTATTGTGCCTGAAGAACAAATCTCTTGCATCTACCTTCTGTTGGAACTCATAATGATGGCATTTTGGCATCTCAAGTTATACACGGGAATCTAACACATTACATGGAATTTTCTATATCAGACAAAGGCAATGGCATCTAGATACATCTGAAGAAATGGAGGACTGAACTCTTCTATTTGTATCTTTTTTTAAGTCGGGGAGATCATGCCCATATTGTCAGTATTTAACAATCAAATCTGATAGATCCATATCTAAAACAAGAAGTCATATTCTGGTTGTAGCTTGGTTTAGTTCAGCGTAGATTAGATTTTTCTATTTTTGGGAATTTTATATTTATTTTGTCCACATTTTATGTATTACTTTTTTAGAACACGTTCATTTGTTGAATGAGTCATATCTTTTTGGTACTTTTGAGTTTTATCTCTTACACACTTGAAAGGATGACAAGAATTCATCTTATCCTTAGAGTCCCAATACAGTTTTGAGTATTGGAAAGAAACAATCAAGTCCTTATACACAGTACTAGCAGGAGCTAAATTGTTTTAGCTAATGTATAGCAAATGTGTAGCATATGAGATTTCGGTGGAAAATCCAATGTTTCTTTAAACTGAGCACCCTTAGTTTTTCTTTTTTTTTTCCCAACATTGGTCTACTTTCAAAACTTGTCTTTTGCATTATCAATCAATTTGAAACTCTATTAATATTTGGTTGTTGCATTAATTTGCCATCTTGGATTTGTGATGAACTCAACATCATGTCAGAAAACAGGTCTGGACTACAATGCTTCTCCATGCTGCACCAAACTTTGTAATCACTTGGTTACAACAACTTTAATTGTTATAAGATAAAGGGAGAAGAAAGGGAAATGATTACCAGTCAATATAGACCCATATATCTCAGCAAACAGCCAATTGGTACATGCAATGGTCACTGGTGTCACTGGTCCAATCCTGTATTGACTTTACTGCCTGATATGCTTACCTTACCGGTGTTCCAGGTAAGAACTAGCGGATAAGCATAGTATTGTGTGCAAAAATAGGTTTGTTATAGGAAAATGACACAGACGCATCAAAGTATGGATCCAGTGTGGCAAAATGGCCATTCGTCTTGGACCACTAGTACAGCCAACGTGACTACATTGGTCGAGATGAAGAAATAATTTGATTAACGTAACATTTGAACACTGAATTTCTTGATATGACTAAATACATTAAGATGCCCGTCGAAATACAAGCTTTCATTGCACAATTGGAGGTCTAAAACGCCCTAAAGTTGCAGTAGAAAGCCCAAAGAGGCGGACCTCAACAGGCAGGCATCTATGAGCCATCCATTACCTTCTACAACAGAGACTTATAATTGATATGTCGACGGATACAGTAAAAAATTATTATTTCCTTCAAACGATTTTAAAATCCAGTTTCCACCTAGCCTTGCTCGCATCTAAGCCAAAATATCACCCTCATGTAGTTTCTCAAATTATGATATTGTTAATTAGGTCGGGGAAATGAAGCGAGAGTATCATATAAATCAAGAACAAACCTCGTAAAATCTGAGATGTATAGGCAGATGGCGAGAAGCCTGGATGGTGGAGAGAGCCTTATCGATCGCATCGGACTTTATCAAGGCCACGACCTTGCACCGGAGGGCGTCCTCATCCCCGGGCGCGATCGCGAGAACTGCAGCAAGCGAGAAAACAGCACATAAGACGCGAAAATTCGCACTAATCGAGAGAAGGACGGATGAGATCGAGTGGGACCTTGATCCGCGACCCTGGCGGCCAGCTCGTACTCGGAGTTTTGGGCATGGCGATGGAGCGCAGCGAAGAGGTCCTCGAGGGGGACGGACTGGGCGGCGGGAGGTGTCGGAGAAGGCGAGGGCTTGGGGTTCACCTTGGCCTTGGGCGCCATGGAAGCGGCGCCGGCGCGGCGCTACCTTCGCAGGTACGAATTAGGGCCAGATGGGGGCTCGGTAACCGTGTCGGGTCATCAAATGGTCATCGGAGTCTGCTATCCATGAAGACGGGACCCGCATCCGATCAACTGTGGATGCATAGAATATATTACATTTATTATATAATAAATGATATTACAATTATACGTGGTGAATCCAAATTCGCCAAGTGACGACCTACTAATTAGACGCGTCACATTAGCACGATATTTATAAGGTATATATATATTTATTAATATACTTAATATTTTACGAACGATGATGATTACAAAAGGAATACTATAAAATAAGAAGAACATTTGGAGATGTCAATTTACTATTTCAATCTCAATGATATCCTATTTTTCTTGGATTGTGATGGTTGTTTTTTTATTTAATTCAAAACTTATTGATACATATTATGTCAGAATTAATTATCATTTCAGGTGGGATAGCAAGGAAATATTTAGAGTACGTGCTGTGTGGATGGTATTCTTCGAGCTTGGCTAGAAAGGTATTCAAAATGTGTTAGGTTGCATGGACTCGATCTTCTACAGGTTAATATTCTTTGTCATGAGGAAAATGATAAATATATTGGTCATACTTAGTTGACAACCCAACTTCACAATCGATATGTCAATATCATATGGTCAATAACTTGATCTCTTGAGATAGACATATTTAGGCAATATTATCACCACATAAAAGTCATATGGTAAATAATATGATCCGTATAATTTTTACCTCGATATCACATAATCAAATTTGGGGCCACGTGGGGGTGACATGCCAACAACAAATGAATTCCACGTTAGCTCATTGTCATTCTACATTCTCCTGTTAGTTGATTATGTTTGTCGTCTAATTTTTTCAATCATTCTATTAATTTAAGCGTCCAAGAGATTATGAAAAGTGTTTTAATGTAACAAAAAAGTTTGGGTTGAGATAACTCCGAAAAGAAACTAAGTTAGATTCAAATTAATTTTTAGATAATAAAATATCAACTTAACATTCCGGTCTCTATGTAAAAGATTTTTTTTTCACCTAAAATAATTATATTAATTTATTGGTCTATAAAATAAGAAGGTTAATCATTTTACGCTCGGGAGCGAGTTTGCTCGACTGAGATATAGGCCTCGGTCCCTCCTTCTAGTATCAATCTGATAAGGGACAATTTGATCGATCGACCATTAGTATAAGCTCAGAGGTATTATCTACTTTGAGCAATGATCGTACCCGTATAATTTTATTCTCTTCGGAACATGTGAACTCCAAAACAAAGAAGATTTAACGGACTTATGAAACCTTGATTCCTATGCTCTTCAACCAATACAAAACTAAATGATCTTATCGTTTATCGGACGCAAACAAATACGATAGGCATTCAGTCAGTTGAACGAAAGACCAATGGGAATTTTATTGCAAAATCACACAACAAATCGCCTCGACGATAATCATAACGACACTAATAATGATAAGAAAGCAAAAACAAGAAAAATAAGAAGCTATTTAACGCAATAAGGCGAGGGAGATGAGAAGCAACAAGGCCACCGTAGCCTTGACACCGGACGGAAGCAAAGATGCTGCTGAATCAGAACCGGGTGTCACCGATGCCGTGGGACCATTGCTACCGGCCGAAGTGGGAGGAGGGCTGGTGGTGGAAGGCGATGAAGAGACGGTGATGGATAACTTCTGGCCCGCACCACAGTGTCCCGAGAAGCCACAGATATAGTAATGCTCCCCTGCACTGGTGATGGTAACAGTGGCGGGGCCGGTTTTTATGGTGGATCCGATGGGATTGGTTGTGGAGCAGGATTCGTAATCTGATTTCGCCACTTCCAGTACGTCGTGGGTGCCGGTCGTGAAGTCGAACACTGAATTTGTCAAGGCAATCGATTAGGACGGGAACAAAGAACACGTAATAAGACTATAAAGAATTCGATTAACCTCTACCGATCAGCAAAACAAAGCGTTACCTAAACTGTCGCCGACGGCAAACTCCTGCGAGGCGGCCCAGTCGGGGTAAAAGGTGGCGCTGGAAGGTATCGTCCATCCAGAACTGCCCCCAACGGTATGGCTGGTGGCAGCAGCCACCGCCAAGCATTGGAGAAGGCCAGTTGCCATCAGAACAAGCCCAACCGCAGAAACTGCTTGTGCCCCAGCCATGTTTCTGTATCTCTGTTATGCTCTCTCTTCCCGGCTGAGGATGGTGGGAGATCCATCAGAGGCCCTCTCGATTTATAGTCGAAGGAGGCCGCCTGCGACGCAGTCCACACGCCCAAAAAATGGCGTTGCCGTCCCAAACCTAACTATGCCGCCAACGAACGGTTTCCTTCCTCTGACAAAGCTTCCCGGCGGGCTATGACTTGCTCGCCCGCGTGACATGAAATGTGGAGGCTCAACTTCTTTTCCCACTTCATTTTCTTTCTAGAAAAGCGACAGACACGTATAAACAGGTTTACTTTCCACGCATCGGATGAATCCTTCAACCCAAAAGGGTCGGTGTCCCCCGGTCGCCGCTGCTTAGTCCATCACCCCAAGTCACATCGGGGGCCTACGTGTCACGCGGAAGAGAGATTTGGTCAAACACCACCGCAAGAAGACAGAATTGGTGTCCAACGAGCCTCTTCCTACGTACGACTGGGCATCTCTTTCGAACCAAAGCCGAACATTTTTTGGCATTATATTCGTTTTCGTCATGGTTTGGACCAACTTCGATGGTCCACCTTCTTCAGATGAAGAACAACTGTTACGTAATGTATAACGTCACGTGGTAGCCGTGAAATTAATGAACGGAACAATTGAAGAACAGGATTCAGCTGAACCATCGAATCGTGTAATTAATTAAGCCTGTGAGGTCGCCGACGATGAAAGCTCATGTTACGACATTTCTAGCAATCTCGTTCCTACTTGTATACAACTAAACAGTAGTGGAGGAGCACGATTCTCGGTAATGGGAAATTACATATATTCTTCTTAATTTCCATGTACAGTTTTGGATCGTGATTGCAATATTTAATTACAGTCGGGATTTCTAGTTTCCGAAAAGCGGAATGTAGAATAAGAATAATAGCAATACATCCCAGAAAACCATTGCATTCAGGGATAAGAGGGATGGAGATGCGGATGAAGGCTTGAGGCCTGTGAGGCCGATATCGTATGATATGCTGCCGTCCGCCTTGAATAGCCCGAAGTGCCTCTCGGAGGTCGGTCCAGGCTTTAAATTCTCATTGAACAACGAAAACACGTAAGCCTGTACCATAATCTTGGGCCTCAGCGGTGTCCCTTTCTTCTTGAAAAGTCGCTTACGAAGATTATAATTATAAGTCCTTGCATTGTGGAGGGTAGCTCCGGCTTCGTTTTCGTCTCCGGCAGAAGCCCAACCTGTCTCTGAAACCCGAACCGCCATCTTACCGTAGCCGGCAGCTTCCAGGGCAGCATAAGCTGCGTCTATTGTAGCATCAAACATGTTGTCATAGTGCAGATCGGTCTTGGCGTCGTGAATTCCAGCATTGGACAGGAAAAGAGCGTAGTTGATGTCGATGTGCTCAGGTTCATTTTTATAAGACAAAAATGGATACGCATTGATGTAGAAGGGGCTACCGATCTGTGAGAAGAAATCCAAGATGGGCTTCATGAGACCGAGGACGTCTTCCTTGAAGGTGCAGGAGGAGGGCGGGAAGGAATTAGCAAACACCGCCTCGGAATGCGGCGTCGACACCTCGATCTCGTGTGACAATTGAAGCCTATCCAGAGCATTGTACACGTTCTTTATGGCACCAAAAAGGACCTGTGACAGTTCCGGATCCGAGCCCAACACTTCGTTCCCAACCGCAATCCCTCGGATGCGTGTCCCGGGCAGAAATGGCTGCACCTTTTCCTTGACCCAGCTCATGGCACGGTCTACATATACACTGATGTCTCTCAGGTACTCGTTAGGGATCGCTACGGTCAGTTCAATCCCAGATCCTTTAAACGCCTTGATAACGCTTTGGTCTGAATCAAAAATCCTCACATTCTTGATCCTTGCTGCTTTTAGAAGCGTGACGACGCTTTCAGGTGGAGGAAGGTTGTCGGCGATCCTGCCGTAGTTTATCCCATAGGTTCCGGTGAATGCATCTACCTTCTTCAGCAGGCCTTTATAGAAGAAACAAAGCAAAACATGGTTACTCGTACGAAAACAGCATTTTGAGCACCAAAAGAGGATAATTTAAAGAACTATGAACCAGTATCAAAACAATCGAATCCGGAATTGCAATGATGATGCCAAAGGATGTGATCGAAGCAAGCGGCGTAAACAATTGAGTTCAACTGAGACGGGTGGTGGCAGCAAACCAACAGTTCTGAGATGAATTCACGGCAGCTTAAAATCAAATCAGAAGCAATGTGTGTTCCACGCAGAAAGATAAGGATGTCGGAAGACCAGATGGAAGGAGAAGAGCAGAAGACAAGAACTGGAATCCGAGATTCCATCAAAAGGGCAAAGAAGAGAGAAAAGGGTGGATACCAAAGGCAGAAGAATTCAACAACTTCAAAAAGGGGCGAACCGAAGAGTCGATCGATCTGGAGTTGCGAGAGAATGGCAAGTAGGACCAAAAGCGTACCATGACGAGGAAGGAGGAAGAAGAAGAGGCAGCAGAAGAAGAGTGGCAGTCGAGAATTGCTCATCTTTCCTTTCTTCGCAAGGGACAGGGAAGGACTCGGTGGGCACACCAGAGCGAGGACGAAGACGAGGAGGGAGACGGCGATGAGAACTACAGCAGGCGCGTCCGAGGAGAAGCCATGTGTAACAACAGTGGGAAGAGGGTGCTTGCTTTGTCCGGGGGCATGCCATCGGTCAGATTCTTGGACTCCCTCCGAATTGGAGACGCCACCACAATACCTCCGGCGGAAGGAAAGCAAAGAACCAAAAGATGGGTGAGTGGGGGGGAGAGGAAGAAGGTGGAAGAGAGATCGTGGGGGAAGCAAGCTGTACCAGCCACCCAAGGAATCAGATCCTTCGGACTGAAATCATCACATAAACCCATGGCCACGCAGTCTAATCACCTGTCAGCATCTCGGAGACATCCATCTGCAATCAGCAAGCTGCTTTCAACCACATTCTAATCACCTGTCAACAATTGAAACCATATTAGGGACAGACACAAATATATTAACCATAAAAAGAAGAAAAGCCGATGAATCAGCCTCTTCCCCACTCAAGGACTGTGGACCAAACAATTTCTACAGTAGTGTGGAAAAGAGTAAACAACTTGATCATAGCATTGTGAAGAAAACAAATTTACAACTAAGAATAAAGCTTTTCCTAGAATACAAGCAAATTGATGACCACTTAGCCTGTTGATACAGATATTGTCTAGATTACAAAACCAATTCACACACCGGTACAGGCACATATAAACATCAGTGAATTTGTTTATGCTGCATGAGAAAAGAAGCTTTTCAGTCATTTTGCTAGTCACACGAATCGGATAAAAGGATCATTGAAAATTCATTTTCTGAACCATGGTCCCTTCTTCTTTCTAGCATCATTTCTCCCATCCCATGCGCTGCCCCAGAAGAACAATGACATCCAGAAAAGCACAGCAAAGAAGATTCGCAGCCTATCCTGGATCCTTGACAGCGTTGCTTGTATGCCTGTCCAAGATCGATGTCAAAATGTATTAATGAGCAAATGGCCGTCTTGCACCACTCCTAGAACATGGAAGGAAATATACATAAAAAAAATCATAAGTAGTACAATGAGTCCATACCCATCAAACACCTTGGACACCTCCAAGAGATAATAGAGAAAAATAAATGAGAAAAAGATGATGATTGATAGAAAATAAGAGTGCTTTAATGACTCGTGAGGGTCACAACACCATTTTAACTTTCCCACCCTTTCTCTCTTTTGTTTTTAAGTAATATAAAGTTAGACTAAAGCTTATTTGGTGATAAGAAAATTTTCCACTCAATCCCTCTAGACTCTACAACTCTCAGAATTTGGTTCTAACTGTGGAGCTAACAAGCGTAAACAATGCTAAATTTGCCTCCAAATTTGGATAATAATAACACTCAGTAGGATTTAGAGGCCTTCTAAATTTGCCTCCAAAATCAATAATGAAGATACAAATATTTTCCAAATTTGAATGTATAGGACTCCTAACCCAATTCAAGTAGGGCTAGAACTTCTTTTAAAAATTAATTTGGTCTTCGATTCACTCTTAAACTGGTCATCATAGCAAATCCATTTCTTTTGCTTATGTGTTCCTTATTGGATCTTTAAGATGGTCTGATCAAGGCAGTTCGATGTCAAAATGGACACAATGAAACGCCAAATTGATCTTCTCTGGGCTAGATATGATTTACATCACAATAAAGCTTTAAGATATTATGTTGTCAAATAAAAACTCTGACAAAAAACTAGCCAAACATAAACAACATTTATATTAAGACTTTTGGATAATGATTTGATTCCCTAGAGGCCTTCTAAAGTTGCTTCTAAGAACAATAACTAATATACAAATAGTTTTAAGCATGACTAGGACTCCTAAACTAATTTAAGGAGCGCTAGGACTTCGTTTTGACTTTAGTCTTGGATTAAATCTTTGATGTTATCTAAGTTAGACAGGATTTGCATCAGAGCTTTTAGCTGTAATGATAATCAAGTAAAAGGTCTGCATGGTCATTAGAATATGCCAATAGTAACTATTTGCAGTAAATACTACAATCAAAAACTGGTATGAATCTCTTTAAGAGGCCTTGAAGAAAATAAAAAAACATTTGTCCTTATATTTAAAAGCAATACATTATCTGGATGAATATTTAGAACCAGAAATAATACTCTTCAGACATTGCTTGATAACCCAAAAATAGCTGATGCTGAAAATAAACTATATACATCCATTCTCGCAAATTTATATTGTAACCGAAGTCACTAGCCAATCTAGGAAGCATCATGTCCTGTCCTATTGTTTTTATTAAAATCTTAATTAATCTTTCCCTCTCTTGGCACTTACCTATTTGACCTCAGCTTAGCAGTTAATTTGCAGTTTTTTTTTTGACATCCAAACTAAATTGATTCCCACTATTTTGAAGTCGGATACTAAAATCCTTTAACTTTCCATAACAGTGATTCTTAGTGTTCTTTTATATGCCAAGCATCACTCTCAAAGTTTGCAAGATCAGAATTAAAACTAAGGTCAGCTTTGAGATCTATCATTAGATCAACATGTATCCATTCCTTCTGTACGTGAGTATCTTAATCACATAAATAGAAACCATTGAACTATATGCCTTACACAATACATTGAGTTTAATAGAACACATTCACATGATAAAATACTTCAACCACAATGAACGCCTAAAGTGATATTGCTCTCTGTTTTTAACAGAAAGCTACTCATGTTGAGTATGGAAAAAGGAATCCTGGAATGACATTCTGGTACGCCACAATATCAAAATCCTTTTTGTAGTCTTCAAGTTGTTAATCAAACCCAGTCACAAATTTATCCGGGCTAACTTTGGATTAGTGAGCCATGAAACTTATTAAAGACAATTTCAAACTAATTTGTTGTTATATCAAATAGTCACATGTAAACAACTACATAAATGCCTAGTTAGCTGACTATTCATGAAAATCATTGACTTAGTTCCAACAAAATTAATTAGACCATAAGACTAGCAGATAAATTTGCAGTTCCAAGTAATGTCCAATTGTTGTCTCCCAAGACCAAAACAATCAAGCACTTTTACGAACCAATGGAGGCAGCTTCATATCCCTTTTGATATTCATCAGATCCAACCAGAGGCTCATAAGATCTTCAAACTATCTTTGCTACACACATCTATATCTAACATGGCCCTTCCTTCAACACACTATATATGTTTCATTTCCTGTTCTTTCTTGACATATATTTCGTTGTACTACAATCTGTGATTTTCAGTCCACGCTCATTTAATCGACTTCCTCCCTTTTTAGTCTCATGCAAAATTCTCGTGTCTTCCGTTTTACTTTTTCTGGTTATACAGCAGCTGTACTTTCATCATTTCATGTTCAGCAATCGTGTTCTGAAACAAATGATCCAGTTGGCTCCTTTGACCTGGAAAGAGCCACGACTCTCAACCCAATCAGTGCTCCGGGAGATAACTCTAGCACTGGGATAATATGTATACTTATGCGAATGCAGTCAGTGAAGGAAAGGAACCCAGAGCTGCAACCATCCGAGTGCGTGAAAGCAATAGGGGGAAGGGATCTTGTTCACGGACGATTACAGGAAAGGGGAAGAAAGGAAGATGGACTCACCGGCGATTGTATTTGGATCCTCCGAAGGAGGAGGAGGAGGAGGGCTGGCCCTAGCGGTTCGGCGGGAGAAGTAGCTCAATCGCGATGGTTTCGTAGGAGGAGCACAAATGGACGATCGGCGGAGGTGGAGGATAGGAGAAGTAGCGTCGACGAATCCACAGGAAGAAGGGAGGAGATGAATCGAATTGGGTTTATTGGCAGGGAACGGTGGCCACAACAACGAGGAGCCACGATAAGGTAGGGCGGGATGTGGTTCCATGTTTGCTAGTCACCCCGGCCTGCAAACACGCCCGTCCCCAATCCATCTCCCACTTCACTGTTTGTAACAAAGAAAAAGGGACTCTCTTCTTTTCCATTTTTCAGAATTTACGGGAGCCGTCGGATTCGCATGCTCCGCTGCTGATGGACCATCGAAAGCACGTGAATTCGCACGCGCTTCCCGTCTCATCCTATCCTCCAGAAATAGAGTAGAATAAAAGAAAAGATAAAAAAGGGCTGATATCAGGAAAAAAACGATAGCCCACCAAAATCAATCGGGTCCCACCCCTGAAACCCGAATTAGAACCTAAATAAACTTGGGGCGGAAAGGGCGCAACGAGAAGTGGGGTGGGGGCTTCCGAAGACGGAGGAGAAAGCTGCCCTCCCGACGATTTGTCACGGGAGGAAGAAGGGGGAATCCGGTATGAGTGTGGATCTGATCAATTCTCCTTCTCTCTTCTTCATCATGATTTCCTTCTCCGAAGCTATAGGGTTTTCCTTTATTACTTCTCCCTCCTGATCTCAGCTATTCCAGGACGAAGCATCATTCATCAATCTCCTTCACCTCCCACTGCCCTGTCCTGCGGAAGTGCGTCTTCCGGCGACGATCTGTTGGTAATTAGCTGATCTGAGGCGCACGCTGGGCGATCTGGTGGTTGATGGTGCGTCTGAGGGCGGATGTTGGATAGATGCTCCTTTGCTGATCCGTCTCTGCTTATTTCGTTCACCTTCTCGCCCGCATGGGGTATGTATGTAACATAATTATCCCCTCACTTTCTTTACCAGATATTTTCGTTTCCTTTTTTGTTGGCCTCCTTGCTCTCTATGCCCAAATTACGCGTGTAGCAGTTCAAGAACCTCATTTCCTTTAGGATAGTACCAGATCTGTCTGGTGTGGGTCGATTAGTTTGTTCGTTGAAGTTTCATGATTTCAAACGAGCGAATGGTCCGGAGAATTTGAGGGCGAGATAGAAAAGTCTTACCCTTGTATAAGTTGTAATAGTTACCGAGAGTCGTACCATTGGTTATCTATTGGTCTTTTCTGCATGTTGGTGTTCTTGTTTTTTCTTTCTCTTCTTCTTTTTCTACTTATAGTTTCCTTTGTCTTTCATCTTATATAGTCATTTGAAATCTAATCTAGAATTGATGGTCATACTAGATACCTTAGATGAATGCTTATTGAAGCAAATGCTAAATTCTTGACAGTTCTAAGCGTCTTATGGCGTGTGAGGATGAACACTTTTAATATTTAGAGACCTCACTTATTTTTTGCAAAATATATTTTTTACTTTGGTTTGTAGAGCAAAGCAAAGGATTACTGCTCTTAAGTGTTGAATCCTGAGTCTGTTGACATGCCTTATTCTGTAGTTCTCTACTTGACAAATGCACATTTCTAAAAGTGAAAAAAAGGGGAAAACACCAAGAAACACTCATTGTTTCTAAGAGTTCACTAAAAGAAAAAACTAAACTATATCGTGCCTTTCATTGTTCTTGCCCAGGTTCTGTTATGTCTTTGTTGTTTGATCTAGTTTTCAACTTTCACAAATTTATTAAGGATGACCTATTGCACGAGGTTTCTGTGAATGCATTATCTAGAAGAGTCAATATATGCAGTCTTAACCCTGCAAGAAGAGTGGTAATTACTGTGACTCGAACCTACTTGCAACATTCCTGATCTTCAGTGGCAACTTATTGGAACATGGACTACGTTATATGTACATTACGTGTTATATGTTGTTGTTCTATGTATTTGTTGGATTCCATGTGATGTATTTATTTTGACTTGATTCATCATGCTTATATACCATTATTTTAGCCATGATTATGTATGAGATACTTTTTGTCGATGATCTGGCCTAATAAGATAATCAACCAAATAACTTCAAAGGCCTAAAATCATGGTCCAAAATGCTTAACTCTAAATTTAATGTTAGCTTAGCCCTCCATCCACTTTCGATGCAAGACTAACTAAATTGTCATAATCTCCTCCCTTCAAGACTTAATATTCTCGTCGAGACATTCTAAAGTGTCATGATGCATCTCACAAGAAACAAGGGAATTTCTTTGTCATATGGGATATGCTTTCTTTTCATTCCTAAACTGTCACCATTATGTTAAAGTATGGAATCATATGATAGCAATACTAAAGATGTATGGACAATGAAGAGCATATGGCAAATGTTGTCTTTTTTTTGTGTTTTCTTCCTTATGAATTGTACAGGAATTATTTTCAATTTGAATGTCAGTCTGAGATTGTGCAGTTTGAGTTTTGAAGACAGTGACTAGTAAAGTCCATATACCTCAATCCTGAAACCCTTCAATCTGAGATTGTGCAGTTTGAGTTATGAAGACAGTGAATAGTAAAGTCTATATACCTCAATCCTGAAACCCTTCAATCTGAGATTGTGCAGTTTGAGTTATGAAGACAGTGAATAGTAAAGTCCATATACCTCAATCCTGACACCCTTCAATCTGAGATTGTGCAGTTTGAGATTTGAAGACAGTGAATAGTGAAGTCCATATACCTCAATCCTAACACCCTTCAATCCATATTAATGATGATATAATTCCTGTTAATATCCGAGATGATCGAAGTCTTTATGTTTTTCATCTTGTTCACATTATAAATTGTATGAATTTCATGAACCTATTCTGGGATTTGATCCTAATTTGCAGCATTGCTAAACCTGCTTTGTAACAGAACAGAGGTTGTCTTGGATGCTATACCAAGCCTGCTCCAATTATTGCTGTGGATGAGCCTTCAAAGGGTTTGAAAATCCAAGGCCGAACAGTGAAAAAACCTAATTTCTCTGAAGAATTTTGGAGTACAAGCACATATGAGATGGAAAATAGTGGAGTTCAATCACAAAAGAGCATTTCTTCAATTAGCACATTGGTAAATACCTTGGATCACCATGGTGGAATAGGAAGCACAAGCAACCATCCAGAATTTGTGAACCATGGTGAGTGTAAGGCTGATCTACTCCTTAAGTGTCTTGGGGGTAGGATAGCACCTATTATTCTTGAAGCAATGAAATATTTTTCAGACAATCTCTACTTTAAAATTTTCTGCAATTTACTGATGTATAGAATGCATGGGGAATTCCCAACACCTGGAAGGTGAAAAAAATCTAACCGGATTCTTTACTGAGTGCTGTTCATGGTATTGGCAGATGTTATTAGGTCTAACAGAAAAGTTTTCAGATTTTACTCTTACTAAAAGTTTAGAACAATAATAGTGAGATTTTCTGATGCCTATTTAGTCACATTTTCAGCTTTTAAATTATCCATAACTTTTATCTTACACCATTGGGTTCGACGGAGGCTGAAGATATGTAGCGTGTTACATTTCTAGAACTAAATATTTGAATTCATCTCACCAACTAGGATTGAAGTTGATGATGGTGGTTAAGAGTTGTTTTAAAGATTTTGATAAAATTATACAAGTGGATTATGTGATTTTGATCTCTGAATGATACTGCAATGGAAACTTACTTGACCCATACTGAGATATAGCTCTTGTAGTCTGCTGCATTTAACACTTGGGACTTTAATATCACAGGTCTTCTTCTATGGAATCAAACCAGACAGAAATGGGTTGGAAATAAAAGGCCTGAGACCCAGTCACAGCAAGTTCGAGAACCAAGATTGAGGTATATTCTTCATGAAGTTCCTTTCTCATGCTGCAATAGAAAATATACTATTATTCATTATATATAAAAATCTAAAAAATTTGATAACTAGTGGAGATAGTCTTAAATTAGGAGCTGCAACTAGAATAAAATTTGTTATGCAGCAATCCTTAGAAGTGTACCTATATAGAGAGATAATGCATTATTAAGCTAGTATCTCACTATAAAGGTGTACTTGGAAGTGTATATATAAGCCATGATTTTATGAGCTCTAGCAAATATGAGTAAATTATGAGAACAAATTCAGGAAAGAAACAATATAAAGAAATTTGGCCTCTGACTATTTCCTAGCTAATTATTCTGCATGTGAATTTAACTGCCTAACTACCAAAAAATAGCTCAACTAGTCAGGGATTTTGATAACACTTTGTTCTACATGGTGAACAGACATGGCACTGTTTGTACAGTGAGAAAGGATACATGAGTTTTGTATGGTATCAATATTGGTTTAAACTGTGCTTCATTGAGAAAAATATTACTGATCTTATGCCTTATGATGCAAGATATTAACTGTGATTGAAGATATTGACTGAGATGATGTATCTCAGTTAATATCTTTTAACTGAGATGATGTAAGATAAGTCATCTGTTGGTCTTGCTGCTTAGAACATAAAGGGTATCCAATCCGAAGGTAAGAGGAAGTAGGATCTCCTAAGCAAGGCTCACAATACTTTTGTATGTTTTAGATGTGCTATGATGATATAGATCATTTTAGTTAGCCGCTTACCAACTTAATCTTTTTGACTGGAATGATGTCATTCTGTAGATGTTGTCTAGTAGAGTAAAATCCAGAAAAGTATATTCTAGTTTAAAAGATCTTGCAGACTTGCAAATGCTCTCCCAGCCCTTAAATAGATCAAGGTTATCAAGAAACTGCTGCCCCCTCCAATGATCCAGGTTCAGGTTACTTGTTCAGATTCATGATATTTTTATATTTTAGAACATTGTGGCATATTTCCAAAACATCACAGGCAGGGATCCTGATTTATTTAATTTCATGTGTAAACCACCCAAGGACAAATAAAAACCTACGAGCTTTAGACTTCTTTGAGAAAAAAGTTTTAAATAAAAAATAGGACACTAAACAGTTAAGGATTTGCATATTGTTATAACATCAGTTAGATGAATAGATAAAAAATTTATGGTAAAAATTAATTATGTTCTCTTAATGTTACAAAATAATGAACTAACTAATCCTAGGTCCTATCTAACAAAATAATGAGCATTTCATTTTTTAAGGTAAATACGTTATAAATCTACTCATTGATTTGTATGTAAGCAACATTTAGTTGGTTGTGTTACTATTTAAATATTTTTAAATCAATATTTATCTGCTTTCTGGAATTACAAACATGGACTTTAGAGGATTGACATGTTCATCATTTTGAGAAGAGAGCTTGTACAGATTTAATACACAATGAATTTAGTTGTAGAAGGAAGGAGAGCTTGTATGGATTTGTCTTCCAATTTATTTAGTTGTAAAAGCTATAGCGCTTCAATTTTGGTGGATGCAGTTGGAATGCAACATATGATGGTTTGCTTGGAAGCAACAAACCATTTCCACAGCCCATTCCTCTTGCAGTAAGAACTAGACCTCAATATATTTGTTTCTTGTGCAGCCCAAATTAGTTTTTTTTTTTTAATTTCAAATGATGGCAGGAAATGGTAGATTTTCTTGTGGACATTTGGGAGCAGGAGGGATTGTATGATTAGATCAGAAATGGTTGTTTTTTATCAGACCAGAAATGTATGAATACCCTTGTCCATTTGATCAGAAAACGATGTTTACTCATTACAAGGACGTCGAACTGTAATAGAATGCTAAATCACATTATCATTGTGATCTCTCTTGCTCATGCAAAATAGTGTCAAGACCGTTAGTCTAGTTGTATATCTTTGAATTGGCAATCTCTTGTGTTTAGATGCAAGTTCTGTGATTTAGTGCTGAATATACCTGTCACCGTTACCTTTCTACCGTTTGGGGGCAATGTATTCCGTTACCAGTAACTCTGTGGTGTAAAAAGTTTGATTGAACTTGAACGTGGCACCTCGTTTTCTGTACCCACTCCATAAAAAATTGCCCTAAGTTTGTCAGATTGGGATGGGGATCGATTAGGGGTGAGATGTTCAGTCTGACTGGATCGTCAGTACTAAGACAGTAGTTACGCATAATATTTTATGATATGATGTAATAAAATATAATAAATTTGAGACAAAAAAAAATGTATTGTAGGGCAATAGAATCCGACTTTATAAAAAGGTGGAAGCGAAATGTGGAACGTTAAACAAAAAAAGAAGCTTATTTATACAAAAAGATGCTGATATTTTGACTAGCAAATGTATATATCACATAAAATAATGAAAATATTATCCACCTGATGGTTTTTTTAGTTATTAAGCTACTGAAGTACTGATAAATACAAAGACAAACGAAAAGGTTCTTTGACAAGAGTCGTTTATGGAACATCCGCTGTTCTATTCCATCTGTCTATGGTGAGCCAAAAAGGGATAGGAGTATTTTTTTCACATAGGAGTGTTGGGTCTGTAGTCCATTAGTTTAGACTATAGAAGACTTTAATAATCCATAGTCCATTTTAATCATAATTTTTTTTTATTTTTTAATCTAATCCAAAATGGGAGGCTAATGATGGCTACAATCAAAAAATTACAACAACGTAACTTAAAAAAGAAAAAAAAATAATAACAGCCTCAGTTATTATCTTGTAATTGTTGTTTAGATTTTAAGATTTATATATTCATTTAGATTTATCTCATGATTTTTTTTTATTTTTTAAAGATTTTTATATAAATCTTAATATCTTATTTAATTATAATTTTTATTTAATTTTATTATGTGTCACTGAGTATTAATATCTGTTTGTATACAAATTGGAGCTGTAAGAGTTTACCGGATTACAAGATCATTTGGATGGAAGCAATCCAATATTGGAATGACTTCTGACAGCTAAGGAAGTAAGCTTGAAGTTGTGCGTCATGCAACCGCAAGCACCACCAATTTATGGAGCCGCCCACTAATACTCATTATGCGTCAATGCTTCATGAGCCTTCTCCCACGAGGACTAGTGTGAGGCGTCCAGAGAGGCAGTCTTACCACCCCGCATGAATTTTCAATTTGAGTTGCAATTGATTGCCACATAAGATTAAGAAGAGTATTATAAGCCACAGCAGACGTTGGATGTCACTATTACATGAATTTTCAATTTGAGTTGCGATTGATTGCCACATAAGATTAAGATGAAGAGTATTATAAGCCACAGCAGACGTTGGATGTCACTATTACATGAATTTTCAATTTGAGTTGCAATTGATTGCCACATAAGATTAAGATGAAGAGTATTATAAGCCACAGCAGACGTTGGATGTCACTATTACATGAATTTTCAATTTGAGTTGCAATTGATTGCCACATAAGATTAAGATGAAGAGTATTATAAGCCACAGCAGACGTTGGATGTCACTATTATATGCAGCAATCTCAAGTAATGGAGGAGCACAAGCGACAATGACTCGATAATTATCCGCATCGTTCTCATATAGTGAAGAAGCGCAAGCGACAACAGTGGGTTGATGATTGACCTTCCGAAGGGGCAAAGGGCACATCAAATCAATCAGCCATCTCGCTCCAAATGAATAAGCCCCCACTTTGGCTAAAAAATATGAGCTTAGGTCAGTCAAATTTCTTGGGCGAGCAATCATCTTCCACCAGTCCCATGTACGAATCGACGTCTTGCCCTGAAGAGGGTATCTATCATCCCACTGTACATCTCTCAGCAACGCAATACAAACGCTGACCGAATGGTTTTACTGCAGGCAGAATTCTCTCGTTACGATCCCAATATTACGACTAGGGATCATTCATATATACTTTGACGTCTTCGCAGATGATTCGACGACACGGTGATATATGTTCGGATAAACCGATTTCTTATGCTCGGTGCATGCGGGTGCCATTACAGACATATCCAATGGTTCCTACTTCCTCCTATAGCCAAGCCAGCTTAGCAGCTCTGTTGATCCCAAAAATACTGTGCAGTACTTGCCAAGAACTTTTTTGTTTCTTAAGCCAACATGCCAACGACTAGGCGATTCTTTTTTTCTTAGAAAGAAAATTAGCTAGCAAAACATATAATCTGAATCACCTGCTGCAAGAGAATTCTTCGCTACATGATCGAAGGTACTACACATGGAGAACCAAGTAGCAAGGTCAGGCAGTGATTCCTAGTATTCCAAATCGTCAACATGAAGGCGAAACAAGGGGAGATTTTTTCGGCGTGTATATATATATACATATATATATACACACACACAGAGAGAGGAAGCTTCATAAGCATCGAAGATAACTACTGGTATATTTTACCATCAACAAAATCAAAACATGGGCGTTGGCGACATGCACGGCGATCTTTGTATGACCAAGAAGACTGAGGTCATGTTTGCGCCGTCCGACGCAGCTGACGCCTTCTTGGCTTGGATGGATCGCTGGACCTGGGCTTGCCGAAGATTCCACAGAGAAGGCATCCAGAGACGTCTGGCGACGGCGGGTCTACGGCTGGTGGGACGGCGCCTGCGCGGAAGGCTTGTCTGCCATCGATGCGTCTGTGCTCGGTCGTCCCGCTCGATCCAACACTTTGCGAGTGCCCGAGTTCCCTGAACTCTGACCCTCCTCTTCCTCCCCCCTCCTCCTTCTCCTCGGAGAGGAACCGCTCGTGCCACACCATTCCAGATGAGCCTGATCTCCTGAAAGTTTGTACAGATCGTTGCAGGCCAGCCATCTCGCTCTCTCTCTCTCTCTCTCTCTCTCTCTCTCTCTCTCTCTATACTTTTGTTTGGGCAGGCAGAAGAGCTCTGTGCTAATATGCAAAAACGGGAAAGGAAATCGAAGAGGGCCAAAGAGACAGAGGATTGGTATGGTCAAGTACTCATCATCTCCATGGTGATGACGGAGACATGGCGGTAGGGATCATAATTGTAAAAGGTACGTCCATAATTGCTGATGCCATCTTACTCATTAATCCTTTGTAACCTTTGGGCGATTTTCCTAAGAAATATCCTTATTTTATATATTTCTTAAAAGGTGACTTTCTTTTGTATTTTAAATAATAATACTTTTAATTTTAAAAATACTCGAAATATTCCTCAAAAGTTTTTCTATCAAAATTTCTGCTCAATTTTTACTATTTTTAACTATTATAATATTTTTATTTATATCATTTATAATTTTTCAATGATGGTTATAATATTTTATTGATACACTAAAAATATATAAATATTATTAAAAAAATATTATAAGTGATATCATGTATCTTTGGTTCTCATTGCTTATATATATATATATCATTACAACATCATAATTTTAGGTTTATCATTAGTTTGATTAAGGTTAAAAATTCATTTATTCATTTCATATATTTTCAAGTAAGACTTACAGTGTTTTGATTGAGAACACTATAACAAGTCAATTGTTTGGATAATTTTCTTTTAGACTATATCAAATATTTTTTTTATTTCATATGACTTATTTACAATGTTTTCAAGTATATTTTACTGTGTTTTTATTATGATGGTCAAATCACTATAACAAATCAAAAATATTATGATAGACCACTTGAAAAACATCAAAACTTAATGATTAATCCAAAGAAGCTCATAGAAGAAAATATTATTTTCAAGAAATAAAAGTTTACTACCACTCGACATCGCAACAAAATTGCTTTTCGAATTCGATGCAAAGGAAGATCAAGTATAGGAAGATGATTCTTTGAATAAGCTGTTAAAGCAGGATTTTTTTAATTTTAAAACAAGATAGCTACAAGAGAGGAGGAGATTGAAATCAACAATGAGATTATCACCTAATTGAGATTTTTTATACTCTTATTTTATGTTACTTAATCCCTTATAGTCAACACTTTTGATTTTAAAGGAATAGACATTGTTGACTTTCGGTCTTACGCTTGTTTTCATCATGGTATTTTTCTCTTCTTTCAAAAAATTTCATTCGAGAGGTTGTATGTATCAGATCGACATTTCATTAAACTCGAACCTTATACCGATCAAATCATAATGAAGATTGTGGGATAATAAGTTGACTATGTAATTTTTTTTTAACAAGAAACACTTGTATGAAATTAAAAAAGTGAAAATAAAGAATGACTATGATATAAACAATTATTACAAAAGGTATTAAAACATTTTAAAACATTTTTAAAGGTAATAAAATTATAATATATTTCTTAACATACTAGTTCTGACGACAAAAATAATTCCATAAAAAAAAATACAAATCCCATATCAACATGTTAAACCATGCAACTACACTTAATCACTTCACATAAAAATTCTCAAACAAAAAAAAAATCAAAATATCATCTGACTAATACAAATAAATTTTAAAAGCATGAAATACGACATGATCGATATGAATAAAATCTTATAAATGTCAATTTTTAGAAGCTTTATGAGCCGCTCTATCTCGAGTAAATTTCTATAC